ACGGTATTTTCAATAACCGTCGTGCTTACGGTTGCATTGACGTCTTCGCATAGCTACTACACTCCGTCACATTCCCACAACTGCAAGCCTTGCAGTTGTGGGAATGTGGCGGAGTGTAACGGAATCCAAAAGACGTAAAATGCAACCATAGCACGACGGTTATTGAAAATACCGTAGATTAGACGTATGACACTTTTACATCTGCATTTGTCAGCCGCTGGAATGCGGAGCACGAGAATACTTATGAAGACGTGGGCACACGCAAGCCCCGAGGGGCAAAAAGGGGAGCAAGCAAGAGGAATAAACAACAGGGAACAGAGCGTTTCTGGGCATTTGTGCCTTACTGCGAGCCTGTAGAGTAATCGCTTCCTCTCACTGTGCCAGTGCCGATGAGTAGATCACACCATCCCATAGCAGTGCAGTATCGCTGGACATGCTGCGACAAAAGCGCGGTGCCCAGGACCCGCGACGATTTACTCTGCCGCCCATTGCCTGCTTCCCATTCCGGCAATGCAGCCTACTGTCTGACGGTCAGAGTCTGAGTCAGAGTCTGAGTCAGACTCTGACCGTCAGACGGGTTGTTTTTTCATTTTTGCTTTTTGCTTGTTTATTCATGCAGAAACTGAGAAAGTTCATGATTCTTCATGAAGAAACGACTTTAGACAATGGGAGACACTGCATGGAGATGGGCTACAGGGACCCTAGGAAGGCATGGGGGATCTCGATTTCGATGGTTGATCGCGGTTATCGGTGGGTCGCCTGAAGAAGGCCGAAGTGGTGATTTTTTCATTTTGCAACATTATCTGGCAGTTTTTGCGCGCAATTGCGCGCAAAAACATGATTTAATGAAATCGCAAGTGCAGGTGTGGGTTCGAGTCAGACTCTGACTCTGACCCACACCTGCACTGTCGCCGTCGCCCATCCGTATCGAACCCTCTCCCCCTCCCGCACACCTCTCCATTTGTATCGCCGTACATACTGCGACAAACACGCGTCGCACAGGACTCGCCACGTATTACTCTGCCGCCCATTGCTTATTGCCTGCTTCCCATTCCGGCAATGCAGCCTACAGTCTGACGCATGCCTGCAATGTCGCCCTCGCCCATCTGTATTAATCCCTCTTCACCCCCGGCAGACCTCTGCCGGACACGGCGCGCCACACGTGCGTCGCAGCACCGCGACGGATTACTCTGCCGCTCAATGCCTAACTTACTTGTTGTTCCCGCAATACAGCCTACAGTCCGTCGTGCACCAGTACTGTCGCATCGCCCATCCGCGCCGAGAGATGCCATGCCCGTACTATGGAGGGTGCCCGTGTATTCCTCTTTATTCTCATTATCCCCGGAGCACCGCTGTCGTACTTGCTTTTGCAGAGTAAGGGGGCCTGCACGCCGCTTGCACCCTGCCAATGCATGCATACCGCCATCGTACTTGCTTTCGTAGAGTAAGGGAGTCTGCACGCCGCTTGCATCCCGCCAACGCATGCATATATATATACGTCCCCCACGCCCTGCCGCACCTCAGCATTTCCCCTTCCCACTCACTCACTACCTCACCCACCCACTCACGCACTCACGCACTTCATCGCACAATGAACCTCCTGCTCTCCACGCTGCTGCTCTCCGCCCTGCTCTCCTCAGCTGTGTCGTCGCCCATGGAGGGCGAAGTGCCGGAGGGGATAGTCAGGGCTGTGGACGCACCATACAGCTACAGTACTACGCGGGTCAACGGGCCGCGGTCGTTGCCGTTCGTCAACGAGAAGATGTCGGTGTGCAACACGGGCAAGATGCAGTCGCCGATCAACTTCCCCGCCGCCGTCGGGGCCAGCCCGCTGGCCGACGGGCCGCAGCCCAAGCTTTTGCGGGCCAAGTACACGCGGGGGCCGCCCGGCCCAGACTTGAACCTGGCGTGCCAGGTCGAGAACTCGTGCGGGTACACCATGTTCGCCGGCAAGAAGTGGTACGTCCTGCAGACGCACTTCCATCACCCCAGCGAGCACACCTTCAGGGGCAAGCAGTTCCCGCTCGAATGCCACACGGTCCACCAGAACGAGGACGGCAACCTGGCTGTCCTCGCTACCGTGTTTGCCTACCCCGCCGGGTCCGAGAACGCGTCGACCATGAAGAAAGATGGCAAGAACTCGTTCATTGAGCAGGTACTGAAATTTGCCAGGCAGAAGAAGGACAGGTTCAAGATCGATCCCATGACCATTGTTGACACGTCGAAGGGCTTCTGCGCTTACACCGGCTCGCTTACCACGCCGCCGTGTACGGAGGGCGTGACGTTCTTGGTGCAGAGGAACATCGAGACCGTGTCCAGGCAGCAGGTGCGCGACTACGTGCTTACCGCAGGTGGGCCGCCCGAGGGCAACTTCCGCCCAGTTCAGCCGCTCAACGGCCGCGAGATCATATGCTACCCGTAGACGACCTCCCCGCGCCCGTTTTCAGGGCCGCGGTGCTGAACTGTTGTGCCTGCGTACGGCCGAGTATATGCGTACGGCCGAGTAGGTAGCGAACCCGGATGCAGGAGCGGTTGAAGGGCGCGAGCAAAAGCATGCACGAGTTGTTACCCTGAAGGGTAGTTTTTTTTGCCACTCTTGCGATTTCTTCGTATCAAAAACATGGGCAACGCCCGTCTGACAGTGACGTCGTGGGGGACCGGTGGGGAATGCTTAGCAGTACACTAGTCTCACGTCTACGGCGCAGGGTACACGGCGCGCGACCCATCCATAATGTACAGCCTAAATTTGCCACGACCGTTCACTCTGCCGCTCATTGGCTACACCTTATTCCCACAATGCAAATTGGCCTGCAGTCTGTCACACACCCTGCACTGACTTTTGTCGCGCCCCCGTTACCACCGCTCTGTAATGCGACACCCTGTCCCCACGTCACCGATACCTCACCAGATCCCGAATCCATTCTCATTCTCGTTCTTCTCTCGGCCTTTACCCAACATCTCTCCCCGAGTTCCCGTGTACGCGTGTCCACGTGTGTATCCCATTAACCGAAAATGTACCCTCCTTATCACCCAATCACGTTACCCTGTAGGTTTCATCTCCCATCCATCCAATATCCATCCATCCGTCGCCGCCAAGTGCTCTCGCCCAACCGCCTCTCTCGGGCCTCAATCGAACCCTCAATCCAACTCAATCTCTCTCCCGCATCCGCCATCGCACCGGCCCAACCTCACCGCCGCCCAGATCATGCCGCACCGAACGTCCGCCGGGTCCTAGTCCCACCCGCCTCTTCGCCTCGCCCATCCGTACCGAACCCCCCGCCCCCGCCAGATCGTAGACCAATCTTCGCTTTCGATTCGCTCGTCCATAGCCCGCTTCTCCATACCCATCTTCTCCAGCGTGGCTCGAAGAGCTGCTCGTTCGAGCCATCCCCGATAAGAATTAAAGGTGTAGTCGAGAATGAATTTGTAACCATCAACTCCGAAT